TTACAACTGTGCCATTTGCTCTGTGTTTGCCTTTCAGACTTTCCTCCCTGGAACTCAGCAAACTGTAGGTAATTTTTTTCTGACCCCACTTACAGAAACAAAAGTAGTGTCCCTTTAAAAAAAATTGAAATAAGTAGACTAATTTTTTTAGCAAAATATTTGGATTGAAAATGTCGGATTTTAGAGATTTTTGATCTTCAGTCTTCAAAATTTAAAACACTGGAGTTGTGTAAACAATTAAGCCAATATGTCCATGTCATATTTTAAGTGTCCTCAGGAGGGAGAACTTAATTTTCTTATAATTTTGGTCTGAAGATCTGTGAAAAGGAGTAGGAATAAGTAGCGTTATAGAAATAGCTGTGTGAATACTATGCTCATGGAAAAGTGTTTGTGATTCTCCGATTCACTTGTCCTTGGACTCTGTTTTGCCCCGCTGTTGTGTACAGACAAGGCTATAGTCAAGATACAGTCCTTGTGTTCTTTCATGGCAACCCTTCCCTTTGGGCAATTGCCCAAATTCCCAGTTTACAAAGAGATTTGCTCATACCTTTTGTAGGTTGTTGCTGCCTGCCTTTTATTAGGATGGTAGGGTCATACAATTTTGGATTCCCAAGTCTAATGTCACCTCTAGAGATTCATGCTTGCCAAAGTAGCGCTTTTCATAGCTTTTCCTCTGTGGATCCACTGTTGCTTCAGTGTGTCTTATTGTCTGGAAGAAAGAGATTTGTATCATACTGTCACTGGTGCGGCATATACTGCTGCTTTGTATTAGAAAGGATAATCAGTTTAGTTTGAACATTACAGTTTTGTGTTCTACACATAACATAAATTTAATTGCCACCTACTCTTAGCTGAGTGCTCAGAAGAGCTTTCTGGCTTTTCAGAAGTTCAGATTTCCATATTTATTCAAGAGTTCGTGGAACAGTTATTGTGCTCTGTGTTGGCAATTACTCAAAAATACAGTTAATTTATCTGTATATGAAAAAGGAATGGTCCAGCCATGGCTTTTATTCTGCAAGTGTCTTCCTCCTGCCAAGCATATGACATATGAATGGCTTAATGGCAGTCTACCTCTTGTGGGTTTTGGCCACACAAGGATTTTGACGCGTCTCATAAGGTCATGCAATTGGTCAGTCTGGTGTATGGAGTCAAATATAAGTTATATCCATGAGCTGCAATTAATCAATTTATCAACAGTGAAGTGAAGGTCTTTCTTTTTCCTTAAAGCTCAATAATAAAAAATTTTGAATTCAAAAATACTTTTTCTTTCAAAACTTGCCAGCATGAAAAGAACACTGATATTTGAAAATGCAGTGCACATCTACACATAATTTTAGTGACATTAAAGTGCAGCATGCTCTGAGTAATGAAGTGACTAATGATTCATTCATCATTTAATTTAACCTTCTGTAACATTATTCTGAATTAGCTTGCTTGAACAAGAGTATGTCTTAAAAATAATAATTAAACCTTGATTAGCATTTCTAATGATAGCAAATTCATGGAACCTTAGTATGTTGCTTAGATAATAACTACTTTTGTTGTTAACAATGGCCCCTCATTTGTAGTCTGGCTTGGAGCACGTATAGCTTCCAGCATGGGCTTCTGTGTGTTATGCCATTACCTTTTGTAATGCCGTTCTCTTTTTCTTTAGATATTTACCCATTGCAGTCCTTTACCCCCTTTAGCCTATCTAGCTTCACAAAGAGTAACTAAATTCCTCTTATTCCTCACTAGAGGGCGTGTTTTTCAATGCTTTATTCATTTTGATGTTTTGCTATCATTCTGTCCAACTTCTCATCCCGCTTGAAGAATGGTTACCAGATTCAAGTAACACCGAGGTAATTTAACTTCCTTACTCTCTAGAGTTTCCCTGGCTTTTTATAAAGTTCATCATCTTTATTAGATGTAGCTGCCCACTGGAAGCTCAAACTGGGCTGATTTTTTCTCCATCATTTCCAAGTCCTCTTCACAGCTTCTAGTGTTTCCATCTTGTATATGTGCCTAATGTTCTTGGTTTTAAACTTATGTCTTTATATTTTTTATGATGAAGCTAGTGAGTGATTTAGATTCCTTATATTACCAGCCTGCTTTTTGCATTATTTCCTACATGCCATCATGACATCTGAATCATGATTTCTGTTTTTTCCATGTCGTCATTAAAAAAATTGTTTAGGGTAAAGAAGTAAACTTACGGCATAAAAAAAATTCAGTTCAGTTCAGTTCATTACCCTTTTGCCATTACATACTGAGATGTGTCATTTAAAATATAGATTCAGTTAATTTGTTGCATGTTTTTATGAAATCAAATGTCTCGTAGAAGTCTGTTTCATCAAAACTATTATTTTTATCAACTAAACTTACAATGTCACCTAAAAACCCATCAACTTAATTTGATAAGGTTTTTTATAAATTACAGTTGATGTGTATTATTATACTACAGACTTTTAAATCTGCATTATCTGAAGTTTGTGTTAGCTGTTTTGTTATAGAACCCAAAGTAGATGTCAGGCTGACAAAGCATTTAATGTTTTAAACTCTGGACTCACAATCAGTTTTCTTTTCCATCCTAGTTTTTTGAAACTTCCTTAGCTTCACTGAAATCAGAGTTAATATTCCAGACAGCAATAATATTTTTGGCCAATCCTTTTAGGACTTTTAAATGCAAAGTATTCACGTTCAGGTACTTTAAAGGATGTTAGCATTATTGGGCAGTATATTCCTATTCTCAGAGCAGGCTGACAAAATATCCCTCCTCTACAATACTAGTGAGGTAATTTTTTACTTTCTCTCTTTAGTTTTTGTGCAGATTACTCAGCCTCAGTGCAATCTGAACTTTCATATGTGGGGATGGGGAAAAATAAACCCAATAAAAAGATAGGGCTTAAAAGGTGTTTGAGAATAGATGTAGTAGAAGTAAGACAGTGTGGAGAACAAAGCAAAGTGTTCTGGCATCCAGAATATTGTAGAATGAGCAGTTTTACAGGAAAGTGAATTGCCACATTTGTAACAAGCTCAGTTTTTCTGCAACAGTTAAAGCAATCCGCTGTAGCATAGTGTGCGGCCACATGAAATAATGGCGACATAACTGACCTGTACTGCACTGACGGCAAACTGCAGACACCACACGGGGACTTGTGTCCCTGCATTGCTGTGGTACTCTTCAAGCATAGACAAAACCACTTTATTATTATGTGTTCTCATGCTAAGGCAGTACTTAATAGGAAACATGGTGTTTACTGTTTGTTCTCCATATATAGACAGTTGTTTCTTTCTGCCAATTTCATTCTTGAGTGCTGTAATCAATGCTTTGTAGTTATGAATTTTGCTCTTTTAAGTTTCAGCTCTATTGTTTCAGGCTGTTTGGTGACTCAGGCAAATGCCATTCCACCAGTCTGTGAAGTCTGAAAGTCATTTTTGCATTTGGTAATAAAGGAAAAATACAGGAAAAGACAATTTTGTTTCCCCCCAATAGTTACCACTTCCATAAAAATAGCAGGTACTGGAACTGTCTAAATTCACTCCTAATGATTGATAGATGAGTTTATTGCAGATATGTCAAAGCTGTTTCCTTTCTTTGAATGATTCTTTATGAATAGACTGATTAGCTCTCTCAGATGTTTTCATTAAAAATAATTATATCAACAACTGTTTTGCAGAACATAACAATATTTTCTAAGTTATTGTGAACTGTATTTTGTTCCTTCTCTTCCTCTTTGTTATTTGAAAAATTTATTTCGTAGCACAACATTTAACTTTAAAAATATGTCTTTTTTTTTTTTTCCTTTTTCTCAAGATAGTACTCGAGAGTATGTCAGGTATATTCCTCAAAACTGACTCAGTATATACCTCTAGTGAGGACATAACACAGAAGCAAAATCATTGCCATTTACTGGGCTGGTAAGGTAGTTTACCTGTAACTTGTATTCTGAAGACCAATATGAATCAATTACAATTGCAAAAAAAAGAAAAAAAAAAAAGCAAAGTTCGATAATGTGTTTCATTCATAACACTGAGTAAAAGATAAATAAGATCAGTTTTAAGGGTACTTCTACACATTTCATTTTAGCAAGTTCATGCTAATTTTAAAGAATAACTTATGCCAGGATCTGATAAATTGTATTATGCAATCTCCCCTTTGCTTATATCTTTGGATTGAAAATAACATTTATGAAAAGTGAGAATCTCAGAGAATAATACAATCTGTTCCATGAAGTGAACACAGGAATGACCACTGTCATTATGCTTTCGTATCTAGCTTCATCATTATTCTTTCATATTCATATTTAAGTATTGCTATAAACAACCTCTTCATTTCGCATTAATTGTTTCTAGCGTTGCATAAATACAGAGTAAGAGAGGTCACCTCCTTCTTCCAGGTGCTATAGTGCAATAGAAATATAAGCAAGTGGTTCATCAGTGAATTCTGCTTGTGCAGTGATCAGCATTTGCTTCCTGGTCTATTTGAAATGCTGTATTGGGCCTTCTTCCACACAGGTATGGCACTTGCAGCACGGTGAGTTGTTCACGAGTCCGTAAAACAGCATTCCACCAGGAAAAGTGGTCTGGGATTAGCTGTTTAGAGCTCTCATTTCATTTTATAAGAGGCATTTTTCCATTTTCCCTCTATCATGACCTAGGCAGCATGGCGCTGGAGCAGACGGCTGCCCCTTTCTGCAGCGTGCACCTGGCTTCCCAGGCCACCGGCCACAGGCGTGGGCATGGAGATGCTCCCCTGGCTCTTGCCCTGCTCTTGGGGAAGGGTGCGGCCAGGACACAACCAGGGAGCTAGAAAGTGCTGACTGTTCTGTAGGATGGAGCCACGGTGGACCTAGTAACAGACAAAACTCAGCCTGAAATGTAAAGAGGACAAATGTCTGTTTTATTGCTTTTTCTTTTTGGTTATCCAGCTCCAATGCACTTTTTAACCTGATTCTCTGAATAATGTTGTTCACTTACAAATCTGGAGTGTTTTTACTGTTTCCTATTTATTCTTTCAGGATTTGTGGATTTAACACTCCATGATCAGGTCCATCTACTGGAATGTGCCTGGTTAGAGATACTGATGATTGGCTTAGTCTGGCGCTCCATGGAACACCCAGGAAAGCTTTTGTTTGCACCTAACCTATTACTGGACAGGTCAGTCTGCATGTTGCTGTGAATTATTTAAGCTAATGTATTTCTACTCAGTCAGATTAATTTTTAACCTGTAGTCATCTCACTCATACAGATAGTCTCGTACAATTTGACAGCACGTCATAAGTTCAACAGGCTTATAATAGGTGGGACTGGAAAAGGAAGGGCTATAAATGCTCTGGAATGTGATGCTAGTCATTTATTAGACAAGTAACATATGTGAAAGTCGCCTGCTGCTGGAAGTGCTTTCTTTCAAAGGCAGCAGAAAATTTCTCTTATAATCTGTACAGTTTATTGCAAAACTAAATTAAATGAAAATTAAATACTGAACCATAATCACTTTAATTGAGATAATTATTTCTGCTTACCTAAAATCCTCCTAGTTAGTCTTAGTTAGAGTTGGTTTATCCAATTGCCAGACAAAATTTTGGAAGAAAATTCTGGTAGAGTCTCTTATTTGCAGAGAATACATTAAAGTTTTGGGGTTTTTTTTCTCCTGAAAACTGGAGTCAAATCACAGTTAAACACAGTAAAACACACACCTGCTTGCTGCCTTAAGCCTTTTTTAGTCAGTCTTGCTAAAATGCTGTAGGTGTTTTTAAGTGAGAGAGAAAAATATACATCTCTGCCATATGATATCCTGGATTTTAGCTGGCAGTCTTCACAAATAAAAGCAGGAAGACTGATAGATTTTTAAAACGTATTCTATTTATCTTAATGCAAACTCAAGTTCTCTTTTTTCCCAGTCATGAAAAGTTTCAGCCTTGGGAAAAAGTGTTAAAAGACAATAACCAGTGAGCAGAGGGTTTGGCAAATGACTGTGGCAAATCTAGAAACTGTTGGTTAAAGGGTTATCCTAGCTGTTGGAAGTCCTCTTTTGTTGAAGACCACTGCCCACATAGCAGAGTTGCCAGGAGAAAGCTTACGTGTGCACAGTGGTCGCCTCAGTGCAGAGTTTGGCTTCTTGGTGTAAATTGAAGGTGGAGGAAGAGCTGAGCTGGGGAGCTGGAGTATGTGGTGAGGCAGCTGAGAGCTGGGCATGCTTCTGATCTCATCACGTAGCTGCAGGGGCAGTGAGCTACAGCAGAGGGTTGGCAACAAAAAGTCAAGGGCAGTGCCTTCAGCTACTGCAACCATTAGCTGGGTGAAGGAATCAAACCTCTTATTAGCAGAAAAACCTCTTTTGAGCAGCTTGCTCGGTTAACTGTGGGGTACTGAGTTTTCATGTTTGTATTTGTGCAGTGTTAATCCTTTGGTATTTTCCCTCCTCTATTGGTTTACTTTTCGTATTTTAGTAAAATATGAATGATAATGCCTAACAGTATAAAATATAATATTTCATAGGAATGGAGAAGTATTTATTGCCTTAGGAAAAACCCTATTCCACTTGTGTAGGTGCATGATCTGTGAGCTATGGAACTAAATACATATAAAACACATTCTCATTTTGTGTACAGAAAATATCTGCTTGCGTAAACGTAAGTATAGTCTTCTCAAGAAAACATAACAGTTTTAAAATAATTTCTTAGTGCACACGAGAAGTAAAATTTACTACTGTAGAAAAGTAAGTATGACATGTTATTGAAAACTACTATAAATTGCAATATAGCTTCCAAAGACCAACCCATCTGTTCCACATTCCACAATACAAGTTGTGAGAAAAAATTGAAAACTGAAGAGCAGAGCCAGAGTACCATTTTTCCTCCTCCTAGCTAAGAAAAACAGCTAATGAAACACTTGAAACTTTAGTCTACTTCAAATGAAAATCCCCATGCTCTGAATAAAATGGAGTCTGAGCAGCTGATTCACACAGTTTAAACCAACTGTGCTGGATTAAAGAAAACAATTGCATGCAACTGGAACCACATATTACTTTAGGGCTCAAAAATCAACTAACTTCATAATCAAAACAGGCTCTTTGTTTTCTGATTTTCAAAAAAGACTGTTTCTAAAAATGTAGATCTATTACATCTTCTCATTTTCAAATAATAAGAAACATGTTTCTAAGGCATCATATACTTGCATCACTCTACTTGGTAGGGATATTTGCTAAAACTAAAATAATAAATTACTTGAATCTGGGGAGCACTGATATGCTAATTAGTTAACTAACTGTTGATTTACTAGTTCATTACTGCTAGCAATAGTTTGATGTGCTAATTTGATTTAGGCAAGTTGCCTTTTGAGAATGTTATAGGGCAAAAGTATATCGTTTGTCAGATTTGAGAGGGCAGGATAGAGACCGATTCAAAGCCTGTTTAACTCAATGGAGTCCTTCCACTACATCAAGTATACGGGCAAATACAACAAGAGTGCAAAAATCGTTTGATGCATTATTGTTGTTGATCCATATAATGAAATCATCTGACCGAATGGCTAAAATAATGGAAAAGATGGATGCTGTAGTACAATTTCCTTTCATCTGTTCTTCTCTCCTTACCCTTTAGCATGTTCTTTACAGGATACTCCTTTTCAATGTTCTCATCCACAGCATTCTGCCCTGAATCCCCATCACGCTTTTCCTGTTACCTGATCTGTGGCGTTAACAACATTTGCAAATATTAATTTAGCTACTGTCTATAATCCAGAGTCACCAGCTACAGATGGTAAAACTTAGATCTGTCTCTAACTTGTGTTTTTCTGGACTTAGTGCAAATTCAATATTGTTAATATGGAGCTTTACGACATTTTGCGTATGCCTCTACCTCTCTCTGATCATTCTGTGGCAGACACCATCTCTGATTTGCACATCCCTTTCATTTTTCACATTCAGGCTTCTCATGTCTGTAACAGATTCTTTCTGTCTAGAATCTTGGAGATAGATAGTCATTTGTATACATCTGTACATAAAGCTCAGGTCACGTCAAGTTTTATTATGCAACTTTTTTACCTTTTGGCTAGATAAATACAGTCTTGTCTTGTTCATATCTGTCTGAAATGTCATAAAAATAACATTCCAGCTTTTCTTGTTTTGAACAAATCTGATTTTTTTTCTCTCAGCTCACTCCTACTACTTGGGTCATATTAAACATGAGTTTGTCTTGTCTCTGAAGATCTTTTAGAGACTGTCTTTCCTCATTCTGTGAGAGTTTACTTGTTATATTTTCAAATAAATACCTCTATAATTTTCCTACGTAACAATTCATACTTGGAAGACTCCTTGAAAATATCTGTAAAGCAGCCCTTTGTTATTAATTGTAAGTTCCTTCTTAAAATTTTGCTTTGCTTATGAAAAAAAATTATAGAACAATTAAGCTGCCAGTATGTGTAGACTACTGCCTTCTGTGTGGATGAATATCATCACATTATCCCTTTCCATTCCCACTCTGTCTTGTAATTAGATAGGATATTCTGTGGGGTAATGCACCCTTTCTTATTCTGTTAACACACTACCTAAACACTTGAGTCTTGGTTCAAAATCGGGACTTTCAGCAGTCTGCCAGTTACATATAACTGACACATTTTTACAGTGTACAACTGATGCTATTAAAAAAGCTCAAATGACAATAATTATAGATTAGAAAAGTAGGGCCAATCAGGAAATACAATGGCACACTCACAGTGCTTGCAATTAATGTACAGTACCTGATGCAATCAAAGCAAGCCCAAGATAAATGCAAATCTTTTATATTTTGTGTTTGAAAACTATTATCTTGTATAAGGCAATTCTAGAAGTAAAGGCTTATGTTTCTAATGGCACAAACCAGATGTTTCCTGTCTGGAGGGTTCCCAAGAAACTAGACCTTAAAAATGTCTAGTTTTAGACCTAGTCATTAGACCAGGGCTGAAATTTGTCAGGCCTGACAATAGGCTGTTTATAATTTTGAAGAAAATGTGATGTTTCTTCAGTAATAAGAAAGTCATATTTTATTATCTTTTTAAAGGATTTGTTGCATTCAAATATCATCCTGATCAGAGGTTACTTAAAGGTTTGAAACATAATTGTAAAGAAACTCATGGTAGAAATAGCCGAATTTCTGACTGAGATGGATGACCTCACCTAAAACATCCTCAGTATCAGTAAAATGGGAAATGCAGTGCTGCGTTTTAAAAAGGTGGGTGGAACTTCTGCCCAGTAAGCCTGGTGACCATTGTAAGGAAACTGATGGGATACCATCTAAAGAAGAGAATTGGCTGAGGTGTGAATAAACATGACACAGCGGTAAAGAGTCACCATGCATTTTGTAAGGGGAAGCCATGCGTTATGAATACACTGGAGTCCTTTGAGGAAATTGACAAGCAAGTGGATGAGGGAGTCCTTGTTTGATTTCCAAAAAGTATTAAACAAAAGTATTAATCCAAATTTTATCTAGACAAATGTGAACTGATGCATATAGGAGAAGAATAATCCTAATCTTCATAAACTGCATTCTGAGTTGATCTTTCCACCTCACTGTTAACTGTAGTCACTTCTATGGAACCAGCAGTTCTTTTCTTGCCAGCAGTCGAAAAGTACATGGACTGCAGCTTTCCCCCCAAGAATCATTACAACAGGAAAAAGAAATAGTACAGATCATTGTTATTCCACTGTTTAAATCTGTGCTGCATCTGTGCTTGGAAAACTATGCCTTTCTGATTTTCCTTATCTTAACAGGAATATTGAAAAAACAGGAAATGTGTCCTGGGGTTGCATAGGCAATCAAAGAGAGAGATGAGCTTTGGTACAAAGAATAACTAAATAGACTGACTTCTCTGCCTGTGATGCTCAATAGAAGAAGGGAAACAAAATAGACATGATAGGAATTGCATGAAGTCATGAGCATGTTGAGAAGATGTATGGTAATCCACATGTTGTTATCTCTTCCAACCTAGCACTAGAAGTAATCACTTGAAATCAGCAGATCCAAATGCCTATACGCTTAGCCCAGGGCTAAATATACCTTTGATATGAGCCAGTACGGCTGTTCTCATGTTATGTTCTAATGTTATTTTCTTATCATGATTGCAAAAAATATCTAGCAGCAAAAAATCATAAGTCTAGGGACTTAAAAAATTTCAGTTAAGTGTAGTCAGTATTTCCATGTTTCTACCAGGTTATTTCCTTCTTTCTATGGAGAAATCTAGTCCGCTGTT